CATACCTATACAACTGTCCTTAACGATAACTTACACCCGACACAATGATAAAAAAATAACAGTGATAACAGTTAATAAAAAAGGGTACACAACATCACAGCTAATCCTAGGTCCTTACCAGTTTCACCCTAACCACGCCCCCTACATTTAATACTCGTTCTTTTACTCCAACATACTAAAGTGGGTTTTGTTTTTGGTGAGTTACCCTAGAAAACAGTGGCAGCCTCACCACATCATCAAATAACACAGGGAACAGCAAGAATACTGAAGGTGACCCCAGCCAAGTGTCGAGTATAACGGGGCCACACAGACCGGCCTGAGGAAGGGGGCACCACGTCGGGGAAAGTATTAATGTCAGTTTCCGGTTTCCTTCGTTACTGGTGAAGTGTTTTACCCAGGTACAACAAATGCTAAGTTGTGACAAGGTGTGGGATAACATGAACCAGACGGGAAGGAAAGTCGAACAATTTCATTGGATATATGGGATTACCTGAAGATTCTTGCCCCACCCCGGAAAGACTAACCTAACGTAACCTCCCCATCCCTAAAGGTGGCGTTAGGGTGGTCAATTTGCTGGTGAAATAACCGGGGGAGGGGGGACTCGTCAATCTCAGTGTAATAAATATAACTCAAAACTCTACAGCTGAAAAACGGTTATCAAGGGGCAACACACCCTTGAGGGTACCCGTGCACCCCCTCCAATTCTTCACACCACCGGACTCCTGTGACCTGACCTAAGGCAGCCGTCTTACATGGACCTATGTGAGAAGTGGAGACCCAGCATGGCCTATGTTGTGCTTGCGTTAATAACTGGGCAATAAAAACTTTCGTCCCACATTACTGATTTACACTTCCTTTCTACCATAACACAAATATTTACACTAAATATCAAACTATAATTATCTTAAATGTCCAACAGAAGTTGGACACATTGGAATACTTTAAAATGCAATAACATTCCTGGCGTGTTGCCACAAAAATGACTAGTGTAACAACCTAAAGCGTCACTCATAGGTACAAACATGCCAAGGCAACCAAGCAATACGCTGAGTAAGCCATATCCAAAACAGCTCCGCTTCTAATTCTAATTCAATATCAAAACAATCTTCTTACTGTGGCTCTCATGTCCATCTGAACACAGTCCACAGGCTGTTCTAAACTGAGGTGCCGCACCATCACACACACATGAAATTCAGAGCATCGTGTCGGTATTTCCTACAATAATTTCCAACTGCTATCACTTTCTTTACTATTTCAATGATCAACACGACTGAAATCTCACAAGATCACTACCTCACAATCCACTTAAAGTGAAAACGTTACAATTCCGGCATTTCTAGTGTAAGGAGGTTGAGTGGCGCACAGACCATACACACGGCGACAACCTCAACTGAGTGAGCCAAGAGCTGAGCTTATGTTCCACACTCACGGGTGGTGGCGGGAAACGCGCCCTCCTCTACACACCACACGACAACCACACACTACCACACCACCAATGCTCACTATCCCCCATACTTACACTCATCAGCCAACATGCTAATAGCATAAGAAAAATTACTCATTTCAAAGCAAAAGGCAAGTGAAAATAATGCGAGTTTAGCTTATCGAGGCGAACAGCGTGTTTAGAATACTAAGTTGCCAGAAGGTGCCACATTCATTTGTAATCTAAATCGCCACAAATACAGCTTAAGTTGGCCCATCAAAGAATATATTCCGACAATAGAATTTAATCTATATATATTACAAATAACATCACTAATTTATCATTATGTATTTCGTAAAAAAAATGCATAATATTGATATATGTACCAACTTTGGGATGCGGGATACAGGGGGTCGAGATGGTGGGTGAGACGATGGGAGGGGGAGGGGAGGGCTGGGTATGGTAGCAGCAGCAGGGGGTAGCGAGGAAGGAAAGAGGGGTTTTATTTTTGTGGTTTTGTCAGCCCTCCCCCAAACAAGCACGTAGCTGTATTATAAACCTTCCGTGACCCGCAGGTGTTCACCTCGATGTATGTGAAATCTAACACGTTTTCCTGACCATGAAAACTCCCGTTTCATAAATTCTCTACCTTTAATCAAATTTTCATCTACAAATATCTGGTAAATGTGTTCCTCATAAAACCATACCGAATGAAATATTACCTCCCAGGTCAATAAATACAAACCGTGGTGCTGTACGTCCATCAAACACACATAAGGGTTCGAGAGCTTTGGTCCGGACACACTTGTGACTCTACCAAATACCACAGGTTTCCCGGTCCCCGGGTTCCTCCTGTAGACCTGTACTAACACTGGATAAACCTCCCAAACGGCTAGTAAGCTAACAAGTGGCGAATATGAAGGGAAAAGAAAAAAGATGGCAGTAAGCACTAAGCATGGGGGAGGGAGAGGGGGAGGCAACCGGCGAGGCACAGGCACACGACGTCTCTGAGGCGCGCCAAAATCGAATGTCACGGCGACAAACTAAGCTGCCAACAATAAATTACCCCAGAAAGCACAAGCTTTATCTCCCTTACTGAAAACTCCCCTTCCTTTTGATATGGGCACTACAACTTCGCTTTTATAAAAGATCAATTTCTAGTACTTCAACACAGCTGCATTAATTCATATATACTGCATCCCCTTACAGTGATAAAAGAATGATAAAATTATTAATGGTAAGCCAGGATGGGTAAAGCCTGGCGTTTCATTTCAAAGATAACAGGACTTTATTTGACAAACGTTAACAAGACTACTTGGCCTAAAATCAATTGGCGAATATGATATGGTTTAAGCTATTGTACAGTTCCATATACTGTATTAGTTAGATGGACAAGAAAATATATGTAGTGTGTGTGTGTAAGGAATCAATTGTTTCTCTTCCATGTAAAACTTTTGGATCAAGTGAAGATTAGGTACCGGTACTCAAACTTATTTCACTTGATTAAACACCCAGTACTAACCTAACCTAACATACTGTACTGCATATAAAGATGATTGTGAATATAATTTAGTTATCTTGACATCGGGAATGGTTGTACACTTACAGCCTCTTACACAAGTTTACATCCATAATAAGAAAGATTGATTAATGCCAAGAGGAGTAAAGTCACGAGTTTGCATACACCTCCATGACAATACATCTCATTTAATACCACCTAACCGGATTTTTTTTTATCTCAGTTTGAAGGCAAGACAGCTAAGTGGAAGAATAAAATATTAAGCTGAAGTTCTCTCTCCAGACAAGTGGGTGGAGAGGAATGGTGTTTGTATACCCTTCAGTGTTTACAGTAGGTACCCAAATAAAAAAAACAGTACAGTAAGTGACTCTAAAAAACAAATATGGACACTCCTTCATCTTAGCTTACTCTAATCAATTCTCAAAGCAGCCATAATAATTCAGACTACTGTATCTCTACGGCTCATATTTTTGATCCATCACTACTCCGAAACTCTAGAAATTCACACCCATCCAATCTCCTTGTGGAATATACAATCAAGTTCTTCCTACTTACTAATGGCCTCAGGATATCCACTTGTTCTTCCTTATAGTTATCACTTTATTTTGATCTTCAGCTTTTCCTTTCCCATCTCTCTTAAAAATTACTCTCAAATGCATACTGTACTTTAATTCACACTGCCAATTCTTCTTCATTCATACTGACTTTACGTAAAGACTGTCCTCCCTTTCACTAATCATAATTTTACACTTTCCAGCATTCACTTTTATCATTCTTCTCTCAGCAGTAGGGGGAGCTGAGTGTGGGAGCCCTGATGCTAAGGGTCGGCAGAGGCAGCGTCCCAGCTGAGGCTGCATTGCTCTGGCGAGGTTTGAGGTCATGCAGCCAGTGTCTTATGCAAATGATGTGAATGTTATACAGTACTTTCATTTAGCTTTCTTTAATGGCTTTAGCTGAATATATTTATGTAGATATTATTTTATCAATGTTTTTAGTGTGTTCTTGGTACTGTAATAATTTACAATACTAGTTGTACACTTCTGTATTTATCATTAGCTAGGTAGGTTTTTCATGAACTGACTTCACATTTTGGGGTATAATATTGGGGTTTTCTTGTGATTGAGGAACTGGACCCCATTAATCCCATTTGTTCTATTATTCAAAGTACAAAAATTCAACTAAGGAATAGTTTTCCATGAACCTAACCCATTCATTAAGTGAGGGATACCTGTACAAGATAATGCTTGAAACCAACAGAATAATACAAAGATAAGAGAACACAATTCTCACCCACATCCACTGAGCATCTCATAACATGTGGTGACAGGAAGGGAGATGTTAAATGTATAGAGATCAATGAACTTTATAACTTAACTTTTGCAGAATTGCTTTGCCTAATAAGTCTAAGCAGTACAGTATTTCTTTATGTAAAACATGCAAGAAATATTTCTGTACTAAATTCTCCATCTTCATTCTTTGCTTATGAGAAACACTTAACCCATTCACTAGTGGATTCCACTTTTAATGTTTAATTTGGCTAATGCCAGACAATTTTATTCAGCCGAGAGGCAACCCCATACACAAGGAGTTAAGCAAATACCACTTCAATCACAAGTAACTGGCCAATTTCGTTTGAACTTTGGACAATATTCAATGATTTTCCACTTACCTTACGAATAGCAGTGACAAACTCGCTAAGACCCTGTTTTGAAATAATCATGTTTAACTTTTTTTTACCCGTTTGCCCAGTACAGGGGGGTTTAAACAAACTGAATTTACAGCAGAAAGGAGTGTTCATTCAGTGAACTGTCCTATACAGGTTGATAGTTGAAGGGGGGCAGCGAGTTTGTTCCTCCCATTAAAGGCGCCTCATATACCGTATCTAAAAAATTTCTCCATCACTTTTTGTAACTCCAACTTAGTTTTCTCCATATCCATTAACATCCAAATTCTTTTCCTTTCTCCCCCATCTTATTGCAAACATCCTCTTCCTTTTCTGAAACTTGTTGACAAAACATAAACCTCACTCATGAAAAACAAAATAGATGCTGTACTTACTGCCACTCATCAAGTTCTTCATCAGATGAGTAAGCAATGTACTGGTTGTATGGTTTTCGAAGGGTGAGCCGTCGTGAGCTGTTCTGAAAAAAGAAAAAAAAGGTAAAACAGATTAAATTTCTATAGATCATTATGTAATATATGTTTGTGTGTATCCATCGTAAGGTATTACTTGTAAAGTTTCCACAAATACAGTAAGCAGTCCGTTCCTACGGATGTTCTCAATTTGAAAATGTACTTAAGTCAAACCTACAGAACAATGTTTAAAAACCCACTAACTATATCAAAGTCTATGTACTTATATACATCTAAATTCCTTAATTTAAGAGAAAAGGAGAAATAGAATGACAAAATACAGTAAATGAAAGTAAAAAAATAAGTAATCAGGGAAATAAAATACGGTAAATTTAAGTTTAACTTTATGGGAACTCATTCGTATTGGCGGAAGTACCTATGTAACCCAAGGACCTCCTGTGCTGTATTCTCATCATTACCCTCCTTCAAACAACTCAAAAGCAATATTTTGGGCCCTAATCAGGGTTTTTCAGCTGTTTAATTCTTGTGAGATGATAAAATATGGATGGGTGTGTTTCTGTAAAATGATACAATAATCTTCTCTTTAATAAATACATTTGTGAAGTTCATATAAAAGTTAACTACCGGGTAACAGTTTAAGATGATACTGTATACCACACCACTAGTAACTACCCTGTAATGCTGATACTGAACAGAAGAACCCACCACAGACACCTACCATACATACAATAGCAGGATCCCTTCTAAACCTGTACAGTATGAGATAAATTCTACCACGAATGATGAAATACTGTGCTGGAGGGTCGATGTAGATGTAAACAAAATGAGAAGAGCAGAAAATCATCAATTGAACCAAAGAGGACCGATGAACAAAAACTTGGAGAAATATGTTTATCCCTTAAGTATTTTCTATAAGATAATGGAAGAGAGGAATGAGGAACCAAAACTGTGCAAAAAAAAAAAAACCAAGTTTATTGAGGGGTATAGATCTTAAAGAAGGGGGAAATCACAGACTGCTGCAAGACTAACTAAATGTATTAAGTGTCAGGACAAGGTTAAAACAAAGTAAATATTTCCAAAAATATTATGAGTATATAAATCCGTCATTTCCATATGTAATGTATGAAGTAAAATTTTAACATCCATAACAATTAACATTCTGTAACAATTCACTGTGTGTGCTGATGTGAATTTTTCAAGTTTGTTAGTGTACATAACCACATAAGAAACAACTTCACTGCCTTAATTTAAAACCCCACTTCAAGCACTGACAAATATAACACCTCCAGACCCTACTAAACTACCTGATCTTCCTCCAACTGAAGTCTTAACTGTGTTGTGTAAAATTTTTCCAACTTAACTCTTACATGTTATGTGTTCTATATGTTCATATTATCTGAATTAGCCTTCATATTTGAGTCAAAGGGCTTAACAGTGCATGTGGTGAAAAAAAATATTGATTAGTGGCATAGGTGTGGGGCCCACTGTAGAAAGTAAAAAATGGTCTTGTACTGTCTGTAGGAAAGATGTTGGTAACAAAATAATGTGCAGTGTAAAAGGTGGGTACAGTACAATATATAAGTGGTGCAGTGGAGAAAATTGCAGACCACAGGATATTGCTGACTCTTAGTGTTCTGTATGTGCAGGTTATCATGTGTCCTTTACAAGGCTGGTGTAACCAAACATTGGAGATATATCCCTGGACTTTTGTCATTGAACTCTGTTACCTAGGTGACATGATCAGTGCTGCAGGTGGTGCTGAAGCTGGCTCAATTACAAGAGTAAGACGTGGTTGGAGGAAGTTATTGCCTTTATTCTTTATTGATGATAAAAGAACCTTCCTTTTGTGTGAAGGGAAAGATGTATGCAATTGGAGTGAGAAGTGTGATGTTGTATGACAGCGAAATGCAGACGGTTAAAGAGGATGACATATGCAGGCTTGAGCAAGTTGAAATGAGAATGGCAAGGTGGATGTGTAATGTGACAGTACTGAGTGATAGAAAATCCTATTCAGAGCTAAGAGGGTGAATGGGTATTGAGAGTACTGTACTGTACAGTATTGGCAAGGTAAGCTGTAATAGTTCAGGCACTTAGTGAGAAAGAAAGAGACCAGTTAGGTCAAGAGGTGTGCTAGTCTGAATGTGAATGGGAGGAGAGCTAGAGGCAGGCCAAGAATGACATGGAAAGAGGTTATAAAAATTTAACCTTAATGTTAAGAACCTGATGAGAAACTGCACGACACTTCACAACATGGAGACCTACCATCAAGTAAAGATGGCTATTCCATGAAAGCGTGGAAAAAGACCATAAAATTATAATGATGATGATCAGAGTGATCAAGTGACCATTTGTTATCCCTTAATTTTTCATTAGCTGGGTCATTGATGCCTAAGGATCAAAGAACAAAGTGTTTATTTGGTTTGTAGACAAAAAGGATTGACTTATATTAGTCAAAGAGAGCTTGGATTAGTTGATTGGTCTTAACATTTATAAAAAAACCGAATTCAACTCAAGTTCACAAACAAAACAGAAAAGAACATCTTGAAAAATTCCAAATAAAGACAGATTTCCTTGGACACAAAACTCTCAAAAGAGAATCCAACTAGGACAAGGTCCCAAAATTAAATGTCATGTGAAATGATATACAGAGTACTATACTGTATATAAGAGAAACTACCACAGAACCACATGATTGACGGTGGAGAATTTGCAAGACTTGCTATATCTCAAATTTTTTGTACGAAGATTCAAAAGTTGCTTACACCAAAAAGACAATGTCAAGGTGACAACAGTAGCTAGCAGGGAGGGAAATGCCTGAGAGTTTCAATCTTTTTAAACCAAAAAAAATGGACTGACCCTAAAATCCTATAGCCAAGCCTGGACATGGCAATTCAAACAAGTCTATGTTGTGAAAGCTCAGGGTTCCTAGAATCCCAACTAATGATGCCTTCCCCAGAACTAAGTCTTTAAAAAGACCTAATAGTTAAAAAAACAAAAATGCCACAACTAAAAGTATTAAGATTTCCTCACTAATCTAAACCATGCATTTTGTAGTTATTATTTGACTTGGCTAAAAGTCAACATTTTGGGGTCAATCACCTTAACAGTATCCACAGGAAGGAAGGAGTGAATCTTAGTCACTCAATTCTGGTTTGCAATAAAACAGGATCTTGAGAACAACCCCCCAGTTAAAGTGTGATGCCTGGCTTGGCTGACATATTTTGACAGTAAGTTGTTGTAGTCTGACTCGTCCTACACTTTGACTTTTAACAGATACATCCTTGGAGGCTGGTAATTATGACCTACAATTTCAACTTGGGTGTAAACATTACCACGATGGACAGTATGTATAATTCTCAGACGAGGACAGGGTTAGGGTTGCCAGAGATATTTGACAAAAGTATTCTGACTTTACCTGACTGAATTCTGACAAATTTCTTGACTAATTAAAGGAGACAAAATAAGTGCCTGTATTCTTGAACTTCCCCTCAAATAAAAAAGGAAACATTTTGTAATATGTTGCAACAATTGGTGTGAACCAGTTCCTTTTGGTAAGTGACCCATCCACCAACAATCAACTCCAATACAAGTTTGTCAGTGTTATCTATGTTCAATCACAGCTTTCTGTACACAGTTGACCAAATCCTTTACCATAGGCTCATATTTGTGGTCTTATACTTTTGGTTTTGGTCATTTGTTGTAACAGTTAATACAAAACCACATGGCATCTTGAACAATACACAAACTTTTGCATTAATTTCCATACACACACAATCTACATGCCCTCACTGATGGTAAAGGTCATATTGGAGAGACTGTACTTTGATCCCAGTAATATGAATCCAAAATACACATCTTATTGTCATCCCCATTCACATAAGTGGAGTCCCTAACATCAGCCAAACTGTTACAAAACTGTCTATACTGTAGACTGAGATCCTAGTTTCTTGGGCAAGAGGTGGCACTGTTTGTTCTTATTTTTAGTTGCAATTCAATGCCCACAAAACTTTTTAACCCAAGACTATATTTCATGTTGGGTGAGGGATTTTCCTTCATGAAAAATTTAAAGCATAACTGAGTACAAGTGACTGGTGACACCCATGTTGACCAACACAAACTAAATACTGTAATAATAAAAAAAACATACCCTGAGCTTAGAAGGTGTGTCAGTTCCACTAAAATAGTCACTGGTGAGACGATCTCTTGTTTGAGCCTCAGCAAAGAACTCGCGAGCACATACAAACTTCTCAGCAAATGGTGAAGATGCCGTCACAGTCTCACCTGTTGATACAGTATTAAATTATTCATAAAGCATTTTTATAATTAAATAATACGTGGCTGCAAAAAGGAATGGCAAATATTTTTCCTTTCACTGTTACTGCCATACAGTGTAAGTAATGTTGAGGATGAACCTGTCCCAATATGTTCTACTTACAGTATCTTATTTATCACACTATATTTTTCCTAAAGAGTGGATAATTGGGTCCCCTCCTTGTACACTATGCCACACAATACATTTTAAGTTGGGTTGGTCATTGCTGGAACAAACATTCAGTGGACTTGCATCCATCTATTTTTTATTAAATTTACCACTTTAATAGAGAAAGAAAGTCAGTGGCTTCTTTGATCCCCCCCCCCCAATTTTCTCTAATTAGTTTGATTTTAAGGTCCATTTCAATTGTTAGTAGCTACAGGAGGACACTGGAGCACCCACAGAAAACTTGCAATATTAGTATTTGGTATTCTCACATTTGACCCAGGGATTAAACCCAAGATGCAGAGGTGAGTTAGTGCTCTCAACTTGAACCCCTCAATAATAAACTTGGGTCACATCTCCAATCTGCACATTTCCTCATCAATAAAAAACCTATTTAATGGGATTTCATATTGCAATCCTTTGTTTAGCAGGCAACAGGTCACTTAACAAGTGACCTGCAAAATTTTAAACCAGCTATTAAACTGAATGAGGAGGCTGTGTTAACTAAACCATACAAAGCATTTCAACTGAGAAGTATGTACAGTACAGTATTGTCGCGGACAAAAGTTCGTCCCCCGTGGTGAAACTGAGTCACGGGAATTAGTCTCCGAACTTCCTTTCTTACTTACTGTTGTACTGTATCTCATTTGGGGTTGATGCTGCTTCAGTTTGGGAGGGAATGAACTTTTGACCCCGACTGTACGGTGCCAGAAAAGGAAAAGTAAGAGACGTGACAGATCGCCCAAGCGGCTAACGAGCCGATCAGTGGTGAAGAGGATAAAAGAAAAGAAAGTATCACTACCTCTTGATGAAAGTGGACCAGATTGTAAAAAGTTACAAGCACAAACTTGATGGATATCTTGAAGCCTTGTTGTATAAAAGGCACATTATGACACATAGTACAGCAGATAAAGAGTGACTGATACCATATGAAGGAGGAGACTGTGTTGCTCTTCCTTCAGATCCATCCTGTACCAAAGCAGGGAAAGGTTAGTAAAGATGAAATAAATAAAATATATTTAAAACAATATACAGTATATCATATTAACTGCCCTTACCAGTTAAATTTCCTTCTTCAAATCCTGATTCTGATGATTCCACAATAGCAGGCAAACTTCTCTCTGTGGACGGTGTGAGAAAGCTGATAACACTGTTCTTCACACTTTCAGCAAGGCCTCCTATGCCACCATTCATACCCATCTGTGGCCTACCATTGCTGCTGCAGTCTACCAGTGCCTGAGAAACTGTTGTTGACTTATTTTCTTTGGAAGCCACAGAAGAATCCTGAAAACAAGCAGTTTTTTTAATCTATGTTAAAATCACAATCTCAAAAAAATAATTAAATACACAGCAATGCCTACATTTCTAAATACCTGTAAACAGTACTACAGTATACTGTACACGTACAATAAATAAAAGGTAAAGAAAAATGAGATGATCACCACTTTACTATTTAAATAGTACAGTATTTTTTACATACCGTAATCTTCAAACTTTTCGTCTTTTAATAAATAAAATCTAAATCTGGTCTGCAAACAACTTACAAAGAAATAGAGAAGAGAAAATCTCCTTAGCACATTGTTGTTAAATCCCATGGCAGATTTAAATGTGCTTACAAACTAAATAACTTCCGGTAATACTTTACATTTATCGTACCAGTATATCTACATTAGCTACACATTTTAAGACTTATTGTACAAGACAGTAATGTATTAAAGAAAAGTTGTCCCTCACCTTGAGAATACCCAATATTCACCCAAGCAATTAAAGATTACACATTTTTGGTTTTCCGGGGTTTACTATTGGAAAAATTCTAAGTTCATGTCATTTAAAACCAGTAAAATAAGCCAACAAGAGCTACCTTACTGCAATTCATTTAAACTGAAAAATATTCTCAGATTTAGGCTTGGGTGATTCACGCCAAATTTGATAAACAGTTTATAAAGTATGTACTGTATATACTGTAATTTAACAGCTGCAATGTGCATAGAGATAGCCACTGTATATCTTCACAATAAAGTACAGTACAGTATTTGGGAACTTAAAAGACAGTTCTATATTTATTTAAATGATAGACATTTATAAAGTGATAATAAAACACAAATACTATATCTTAAAACTGACAATGACTACTAAATGGTGACTTGAGTATCACATTCCGTTAAAGAACATGATCACGGGGCAACTCAACTAAAAAAAATTAATAAAAATCAGACACCAAAGAAGGTTAGATTCTGACCTCCACTTGAGATAAACAAGGAAAACCAAATTACATAAACCGCAATTCTTGGGATGGGTGTTTGCTATTCTTAAAGTATTGAAAAACTTTTCTTGTATACAAAAAGGACAAATACAAGTACAGTACTAAAAATAGGGTCATTACCAAACTACCAGTTTGTGGGATTTTGTTTATAGAAATCTTATTGGAATGAATATTTTTTTCCGGTAATACTGGAGGGAGATGGCAAACACCAAAAGGCGTTCTTCGATTTTGTTAATTTTTTCCACAGGTGTTGTTACCAATATAGTAAGTACAGGGGGTCCCGGGTTACGAAAGGGTTCCGTTCCTAAGGACGTTCTTAAGTCGGAAATGTACGTAAGTTGGAACACATGCTATGTGCATACCGTACTTACAGTACAATGTTTAAAATCTCAGTACATCATAGCCCAAGTCTTTATGTACATCTAAAATCACTAAATTTAGGAAAAAAGAAGTAGAACGACAAAATACATTAAATGAAAGAAAAAAATAAGTCATCAGGTAAATAAAATACTGTAAAATTCAAGTTTAACCCAGTTCGTAAGTCAGGAACCCCCCTCTACTATAGTATTTTAAAACAGGTGACAACTTTTTAATTTAATTTTTTTCTCTCCATCAACGATCATAAATCATCTGAAGTAGGAAGGGTATGAAGGATGAAGGGAATTGTGTGGCAAAACACGGTGAAAAACTGATCATATGACACCAAAACGATGTCTCCACGTGCTTTTTACGTGAAAAAATTCATTATTTATAGTAAATTCTCCTCTGAGAAATCTGCAGTCAGCGTGTGTTGTTGTCAGCTCAGTTTGTGTACAACCGGCCCTCTCGGTCCATGCGCATTCTCACGTCCACAAAAAATGTAAAATTACACCATGGCACTTCAACAGAGTTAGGTAAGGTTAGGTAGGTTTCTTTGGTTGGTTAGGCCAGATTCTATTAGGTTCTAATAAATTTCACCTCTTTTAAACTGCTTGCTATAATGATATGGACATCTGGAGAACAAATTAACGAAATTGAATAATGCTTTCTGGTGTTAACCAGCTCCTCCAGGATTACCTTTTTTCCACTATACCACACAAAAGTTTTTACAATTGTTAGTTTTTTCACCTAACTCAACCTAACCTAGGTTTGGTTAAGTGAAAAACTTAGGGTCTTAAAAATTATTGCAGGGTTATATACTGGAAAAGTACCCTTACAAATGTCCCTGCAATTAATGAATCTGATATTGGAATAAAAAAATTAATAATAATTTTTAGGAAGTGACATGTGGGCCAAAACCTCCACACCATCAGTGCTCACCTAAAGTTTTGCCTGTCAGCTTAACTATCCTGAAGTTTTTCCACCTTGAAATTACCTGGAAGTTAATAATCTTCAGGCGTTCCATAAAGCCTAAAATTGCTGCTAATCTCAACTAGGCCTACCAGTACACTACATCACTGCAGGGAAATGTTTCATGACAGCTGTTAAGAAAAATGTATTCAATTACTACATTACCAACATATACCTCAATCCACCAGCCCAATAAAATACAAGATTGGTACTTCAATAATCCTGATTAGTTATATAAAACACCCCCAAATGTATCTTTAATTACGTAAGTTACCTCGATATATGAAGATGGTAAGAAGGACTGTACCGACTGTGACACCGAGCTACTGTTACTGAATGACACCTGTAAACAAACCAGTCACCAAAATAACTACATTCACAATTAACATAATTTACCCACCATGGCATAGATCAGTTGGGTTATCTATTCACTAGAATAGTACAAAAATGTTCCACCATGTCCATAAACAATGCTTGTACAGGAAGAGTGGTGAAGTTTGACTTAACTAAGGATAGCCCAGAGTAAGCCGTTCAAGGCTGTTTTCCACTGGGTTCCTTCACAGTAAAGGAACCCAGCGGAACACTGGGCTTTACTAATCCAGAATGGTGTACCACAACAGAAATATTACAGCTGTACCAAAACAGAGATTATTACCATAACAGGCATGGAGCATAACCATGATAACCAAACCCAGTGACTTCCTTTTTCCTCCCGTCAAAACACCGGCCAAGTTAACTCTATCAAAACTCGCGCCTTTCGTTCTTCAGAGAAAACTTGTTATTAATCAATACAATATTAAATACTAGTTTTTCGTTAACCATTAACAGGTCTTGATACGTAATTGTTCTCAATATTATTTTCTGGAGTCATTCTAACGTCAGTTTAGTAATTACGAAAGAAATAATCCCGCTATCGTTAACATGCCAATGACGTCAGAGTTGGATGTTTAAACCAGTCAGTGGTCAAGTATGTTGAAGCCAGCGAACGACGATACCTGTAAATGCATTTATCAGGTTTTAATACGCTCATCCGAAATTGCATATATATATATATATATATATATATATATATATATATATATATATATATATATATATATATATATATATATATATATATATATATATATATATATATAAAAGGTGGAATAGGAAGGGAAGTGCAGTGCATAAGTTGCATTCGTTATAAGCAATACTATTTTCCGCAGAATAATTCGCGACCTATGACCCTATTGGTTTACCTTTCACTAAAATCACCAGGTTTCTCCCTCTCTCCCTTTCCTTCCTGTCAACCTCAGATGAGGCAAAGTATTTACACGACCCATTGACCTTCAATACACGATGCTAATGCAGGAGCGTCAGAAATTAATTATACCGGCGATCAATTCACGATTACTGGCCCTGGCTGCGTCACGTCTCGAGGTTGTGGTGAATGTTGTAAGGCGCAGCCCATGTTTGTGTCAAGGAGTTAGGTATTAGTAGTTACTCTGTCTATAAGTGCGGCGCTGGATATTATTTTCGGCCGTCTTTGTTTCTCCAACATAAACCGAGAATAGATTTGCGCATTGACGTCAAACTTGCTAAGTTTGATCAACGTGTAACATAGTGCATAAGATATGTATGCAAATCATGCCAAAATTGACCACGCGTTGCTATGGTAATATGGGGTTTTCGGAGTGAAAGAAAAAGAGGTTTCGTGGTTTAGTTTTTTGTATATACGTATATACTGTATATAATTTATTTTTTTTCTTGGGGGGGGTGAGGGGGGTTGAGAAAACAATGCCATGAACCTAACCTGTGACGATTACAACAACTTACAGTAACGTCACTATTTCGATATTTACATTACTTTAGTTCCTGGGCAGGTTTTGTATCTGCTCGGATGTTTTATATTCTTGTTAGTGTTCTCAATGTACAAGCAGTTACAATCATCAGGCTGGTACAGGATCGTGGATTCCTTCATAATCTCTCGTCGAGACTAATATGTCACGGGAGAGCTTTTCTTCTTCCCTTAACCTATGCTCCCTCTCTCCACCCTCATTTGTGATAAGTTCTTTTCACAAGCTGTATATTTCCTCTTTTCTTTTTCCCTCCTTCTATCACCCTATTTTCTCAGTCTCCCCCATCATCTCGTGTCTGTCCCCCCTCTACCTCCCTCCCTCTCCCTCATTACCTTCTTCTTGCGTGGGGTCCTCAAGCGTCGTCCCACCATCTCGCCAATGTTCAGGAGCTGCGGTGATTGTGGTGCGTGGTGATGCTCTAGCGCGTGGACCCCGTTGTGGTCGTGGTGGTGGTGGTGTAGGTGCTGAAGTGTGTGGATGTTGCCGTGTGGTTGGTCGTGTAAATGAGTCGTGTGTTCGTGGTGATGTCTGATGTGGTCGTGTGAGCGGTCGTGATGGTGTGAGTGGTCGTGGTAGTGTGAGTGGTTGTGGTGATGTCTGATGTGGTCGTGGTGGTGTGTGTGGTCGTCGTGTGAGTGGTCGTGGAGGTGTGTGTGGTCGTGGGATAGCTCTAGTAGGTGTGAAGTGTTGACGCTGCTGTTGGTAGTGTCCACGCGACTTTGATCAGACCGCCGTCGACGCCTACTTCGAGTCCGCCTGTGAGAGAATAGACAAAACACAAAACAATTAGTCTAAAAGTTTTCATACACATCTTAACAGTGAACATGAAATGATCCCAAACAAGCTGGTGTTAACATTATGTCCACAGGATATACAGAAACACTTGAAGCAACAGCATTAGGATTATGGTGTTATATATATCCTGGTCAAGCAGTTGGTGGCGATGCGAGGCTACTCAACCTGGCTATATTTAGGGGCAGTAGACCAAGCAGCAAGAGACAAACTAGTTTAAGCATCTTTATACTTACCCTTCCAGTATAATCAAGAATGTTAGCCTAAGTTAGATTGAGAGATGCTTGGTATTTTATAACTCCTTCGCTAGCATCCCCATTATCTTTCAACATAAGACATCCTCACTATCACCCTAACATACATCTTCACTATCATCCTAACACATCTTCACTATCATCCTCTGGGATCAGCATCATGTGGTGTTCCTCAACCGTGCAAAGAACAAGTATAAGTATCATGATTCAAGTGATAGAAAAACGCTCCTTGGAAGCGTCACGAAGTACTATCGAACCATAACCAGAAGTACCGAACATCACGAGCGTCAGCCATTCACTACAGGATCCTTACTACGCCACGTGTACCTTCATTTCCCTCACTTCCTAGAGTTTGTCTGCCGGTATCCTCATTTTACCGCACTGGACATTTTCTCTCCAACATCTAAACCACCAAAGCGACCTAAAAGCAGTGACTCTCGTGGAGCACCCTGTAGCCGAGTTGCCCAAAATTCACAGGTTCTCAATGTACTGCTTGGAGGGGCGGTGTGAAAGCCCGGCATGGCTCTGGTATCCAAGACGCCGGTGCCGCTGTCTAGGTATTGTCTTAGCTGGGGCTAACGATCCCACCCCCCTTACCGGCGCCAGCGATTACCTGTAAACAGACTAACAGTCCCCTTAGCTTACTGTTCAATAATAGCAGGTAAACATGAGAGCGAAATGACCATTCTTAACAACGCGTCATTTTCGTTCTGGGAGAAATTAAGTGTTTTTGGTCGTCACTTTCATTGTGGTTGACGAGCACTATGAGGAACACACACACATACGGTACTAAATCACCTGACCTAAAATGGTAGGTATGTGGTGGGTTTGGCTCTCTCCTGGTTGAGACGGATGGGGGCTTATACTGTACATAATATACATTCACTCAACAGGTACATATTAGATACACATATTAACTACATTTTCACACACACACAGGATACATATATTACATTTCATCTTTCAGTGAGTAGACAAATTACAGTCGTACATTCAGCTGACACTTGCCCCACCGGCCAGTACGAGAATGAACTCTCACTCCCTACCTGTTGGCTTCCCCACGAACGCTCACAGGTAAAGTACACTAATGTGTGATTCACCTTCATTAGTAAGGAAGGAAAAGGAAGGCAGGGGAAGGAAGAAGAGGGGGTGGAGGAGATAAGAGGAAGGGAGGAGATAGAGGAAGGAAGGAGAGGGGGCGGAGGAGGTAGGAGGGAGGAAGGAGAGGGGGTGGAGGAGGTAGGAGGGAGGAAGGAGAGGGGATAAAGGAAGCAAGGGGGAGGGAGAAGAGGGAGAGGATGTGAAGGAGGAGATACTCTTATTAATAATCAAATCCTGAATAACAGCTATTACAAAATCTTACGTTATTTTGTTTGTATAATGTAATGGGATGTGGGGAAACGGCAGATATCTTAAAACTCCTTCACTATCAACCTCACTATCACCCTAACACATTTCACCATTACCTTCACTATCATCCTAAACACATCTTCACTATCACCCTAACACATTTCACCATTACCTTCACTATCATCCTAAACACATCTTCACTATCGCCCTCACTATCATCCTAACATACAGTATATTCACTCATTTTCACCATCACCTTCACTAACACCCTAAAAGATATCATCACCATTACCTTGCCTGCATCATCTATTTTTTCACATGACTGCATAAGAGGTTATTCATAAGTTTGTATTACCAAAAACATTACAATATATTACACATTACATTGTCCATTAGTTCACGGTACAGCCTCCCCAACGACCCCTGGACGCCGCTACTCCCAAGCGTCGTCACTTGAACATCCCTCTCTCCCCCACCTCACTCTCCAGCCTCCAAACACTCACAGACTAAACTAGATCAATGCGCATCACCACCGGACGCTAGGATGAAACATATCTCCCGCTTCCGTTGTGGTGTTGATACTTTCTACTTATCAAAACACTGCTGGCAACATAAGTCATAAGGTTGAAATACCTTGTTATAGGTGACACTGACTTCATAGATAGGCGACATATTTATTTTCCACGGAGTCTTCCTAAATGACGGAAGAGACTTGAAATGTATATATTTCTGATTACTTTGAAAATTTCAGTATATGTCACTAGCAATATAATTACCCTGAGTCCAGGTAAATCAAAAAGGTGCCGCTGCACTCTGTGTACACTTTGGTGAAAAAATCACTTCACTATCACTGTTATACCTGCACTCGTCATCGTTCCTGTGGGCCAATATGCCTTTGATTCTAAATTAGTAGTTATTCCCGAAAATGAAAACATTTTTTATTTGTAAACATTATTGAGGACGCATATGTTTACCAAACGCATCCCGGCTGTCAACTGTTGGTGCGCTGGGTGGCATTCGTCTGCTGCCAGGAGGTGCGCTGGCGCAGAACAAGACCGATTCATTCTAATACCACATGGTTGGCTCGCACACCATTTCGTTTTCGTGTCATAAAATCAAAGTTCGTTCATTATATTACCCATACGAAGACAATCACTGTGCTTCTAATAATTTATAAGTGAATCAAAATAAAAAAAAAACACTTAGAGTGCATAACTATTTAGGACGAAAATTTCTGACACAAATACAATCTTTATGACAAAGTTTGGTGAGAAGACACGCTTCATCTCTAAAGCAAAACTCAACGATAGTACGAGTCATTAATACATTGCTTATTTATACATAATCTGATTCTCCGGTAATGTATAACCTAATTTACGTCTTAACAACTTAAAGCCTTATGACGAGATAATAGTGTACAGAGGGCACTTGGTACAGGCTATTTAAGCCAGCGTACCGAGCAGTATGGTACGACTGTACGTGTAGAGTACACGTGAGACTGGACCTGTGTTATATCTGCTGATATAACACAGGTCCAGTCTCATCAGAACCGTAAGCCATAGCTGAGTGAGGACCCCTCCCCCAGCTCACACTCTTGGCAATAATAGTAAAAGATGCAGTCTTATCTTAAGCACTGTTATTGCAGTTTTTGTCGTATTCTTTGTTAAATTAAGATTTTCATTCGATTGGTTGCAGAACAGTCCCCAGGAACCCATCAGTGACACCGACCTCTTGTATCCTCCAAGTCCGACAAGGTTTCTGAAAGTAATTCTCAAGACGTCAAAATACCTCTTGCAATTTCTTAGTATCAGTACTACTGTGAAGTCATTTTATACAACTAATAACATCACTCTTGGCAGAGAAAAAAAGGGGTAGTAAAGTCGAGGGGCATCCCTTGGGTAGCAGAAGAGATGAGATGGTGGCAAGAAATACCTTCCCAAGATCCGGGGCACGTCACACCATGCAGCTCCGGGGCACGTCACACCATGCAGCTCCCACGAGGTAAACAATCTTGTTGCCTTCATCCACCCCTCACAAGTTATGGATCATGTATAAAACTTAGGACACTACTACTGTCAAATGAAAATCCAACTTGCACAACATTTTGGACGAGACAAATCTCTTCCTCTAATGATGATAAAAAAAAAAAAAGGATCAGTACACGATAAAGAAGCCAGGTCTACACATTCCCGCGAGAAAAGGGTTAATATTCACAGGCCTGTGGTGGGTTGACGTGTATTTATGTGTCTCTTTATAGATATTCCTTTTCTTCTCTCTCCCGAGGCGGCCAGTGAGGTGATGTATAAACAAGATCATGGCATAATAATGTTGCGCCATGGTCTTCGTTTATGACCAAGCAGCAGCACAATGGGTCAGATTTGTTGCAATGGGCATCCAAGTAAACAGCACAGAAGGCCTCGCTGGAGCCTTAGAGAATCACTAGCTTTAGGTCTCTATTTTCTCCCCCATCCCGGCCCCCATGGTAACGGGACCTCCGCTTCTGTGGTGGGACTTGATTGAGCTCTCCCACTCCCCTTCCCTTGTCCTCAGCACCAATAACAAACTCCCTTCCCCCCATTCCTCTTCCTCCCTCCCATCCTGGAGACAAGATAAACACACCCGTGATCATAATTAACTCGGTTTCGTCTCCCCTCTTCCCCGTACCTCCAGGTTGGTGCCAGGTATAGTAAGAACACCATGCAAAGCTATTAAGTCAGAAAAATCCTTCCTCCGTGGCTCCCTGGATAGCAGCATGCCACCTCCCGCCCCGCCACTCTCCCAGCAGGGTGCGCGGAGTCACCAAGGATAAGCAGACATCTTAATTTCAACCAGCGTTTTTTGTTTTCAGAGGATACTACGCCATTAAAATGTTAATGTTAATATTTGGTACCGGTCCATTAAAGGCACACTATACCAAATCTTCGGTACACTGCCTTTATTGGCCCAAATGTAAAGTTGTGCACCCATTTACTGGTAGATGAACTGCAGGTGCCCTGGGAGTGAATCATTCACGCTTTGAACAGGAGGTAAATGTTGTATCTACTCGGCCGCTGTACCTTATGTTATCAATGAAAACTTCGACACTTCACCTTCGTGTCTTGATCATGATAACAGTGTGATCAAGACATGTCTAATGTGATAGAATAACACACAGGATTTAAATTTACGACCTAATAAAGATTACACGTCGCTGCCACCATGTGTGTGTGTGTGTGTGTCACAGTTCACATACTGTATGAACTGCAACTAAATAAACCTGACAAACTTTTAACATATTCAACCCGTGATTCCATTATTTACCATAAAACGTACACAGAATGCCTAAACTATTTACGTACTGCCTTTAATGGTAGGGAGTGA